TGTAAGGTGATCTTTGACAACAGGCTTTTTGTACTTACAGAAGTTTAGGGCATGCTGAACACTGCATTGTAGGGATGTGCAGGGCCTGACAGAGCCCCCAAAGTTCTGCAAGGCCCTAGAGTAAGGATGAGTTAAATTTGTTTGACTCAACATTGACCAAACTTACTGGGGGAAAAAAAAGTCCCTCCCTCACCTCCCATGGGGTATTTATTAATATTGCTAAGAACCAGCATTCTATATAACTGGAATATTAATTGGGGTAATACTGTAGTATGTTTCCTGTTGATAGTAGATAATAGAACCTCAAGAATTGAGAGAGGAAAAAATATTGACTAAACACATATCAATAGGGAAATCCAATTTTGTGACTAATTAAATTGTTTGGTGACATTCTCAGAATCCTTTTGCAAATAGGCATGGCATTTGTGTGTTACTGAATGTGGTCCAGAGGAAAGGCCAAGGTTGGAAGAGGATATGCTGTCTTCCACCCAGAAGTACTGTCCCCTTCTGACTTTGTGGGCAGAGCCTCCAGAGAAGAAGCTCTAGAAACAAGGAACAGCAAGACTGATTTGAAAGAAGATGCATTGTAAACTCTTCCTTTCCATATGGAGAGACTGAGGTCCAGCAACCAACCCTGACTAAATCCCTGTTCTAAGCAATAAGGTGGAGCAACGGCCCAGGTCCTGACACTATGTTCACTGCTAATCTGTGCAATCAGAACCCTTGCTTAGAACAGTTTCTGTTACCTCCCCCAATCCCACTGTTGAGCTTTAAAAAAAAAAAAATCAGGTCAGTGAAAGACTTTATACTATATGCATTCTCTTAGTTTTTTCTGTGATTAAATAAAAGGATCGTGAGAACCTAAAATACCTAGCACAGAGAGCCATAATTGGAACTTGATTGGTTTTTCCAAACAGTCTCCTTCTGCCCCCTCTGTTCTTGCTGTCTTCTAGAACCTTGCCTTGAATTGCAAGCCACAAATTTAATACTAGATTATATAAATATATTATGCAACTCTCTAATTTGTTTCATGGGAGCAAACTATCTTTCCAAATAAAACACCAGTTCCCACAAAGCCCAACTTTAATTACCCGTGGTACCTATCCCAGTGTTAGACAAGCAGCAGGCAAGCCAAATACTACTCATCCTTTAGAAATTAAAGGAATTCAGGGGAGATATTGGGATAGTGATGAGCTTTACAAAACAGTAGCAGGACCCCCCGCCCCTCCAAATCCCATGTGGGTGGAAAAACAAAACAACTAAGTGCATTTCTGGTCAAGAAAAAATTCTCAACCCACATTCAAAATTAGCTCACATCAACCCTGTTGGTTTTCTAGATTTATATAGAAAGCATTTCAGCACATTTTCTTTTAAGTAGATAGGAATAAAGCAGGGGGGAGAACATAAGATTATCAATTTAAAATTTTACTTTCTAAAAAGACTAGAGAAGAGAGCATGAAATAAAGGAAAATCGGTAAGATGGGAAACAAACACAAGAGCCATAGGCATATGAGCACTCACAGAAGGCGGGACCCGTCCAGGGCCACCTTTCTCTTTCCCACCCTCTGGGGACCCCAGAGAGCTCAGCTGAACTACTCATTTGAAAAGGTGATGCTACAGGGAAGAGCACAGATGAGGGTAAATTAAGCCAGCCCTATTTTCTCTGGCTCTTTTTAAAATTCTTTAGCTAAAAAAAGATTGCCCATAATAGCATCCATTGCTAATCTAAACTGCTATCTACTTGTCCTGGTGCACCAGCCTGGGTGCTCTAGGCTACAGAGCAAGGAAACAGAGAAATGATGGGAGAAAATGTCTATTTCGGATTACGTGTACAGGATATAGGACATGGCATGCTCTATGATCACGTAGCTCAGGAAAAATGACATTGGATAAACGGGCCCAGTTGTGGAGACAAAGGCAGATTGATTTCTTGCTTATAGTATATCATAAAGGTAGATTCTCCTTAGAAGTTAGTGGCTCCAAGCAAAACAGACATAAGGAGAAAATGAAGGGACTCCATCTTCCCTCTCTGAGCCCACAGCTGCCACTTCCAAACTTCCGGGAAGGTGGCAGTACTGTTAGGACCCCCAGTACAAGAATGATGGCACTGCCGGGCATAGTACCCTGGTTTGAGGAGGTAAACTCTCCAGGTGGGAGGCATGGCTTAGGTCAGCTCAGGAAAGGTTATGAGGCTGAACCCCACTAGTGAACTTTCAGTGTTCAAGTCTCATCTCTAACTCCAGGTTATTACTTGAACAAGTTCTCTGAACTCAAGTTCTCACCAGAAACAGAGGACAGCACCGTGTACAGTTGTCCTGAGGTTTGCATGACAGCTGTCACAAACACTGGGCATATTGCCTGACCAAGAGGTATTCAAAGAATATTGCCTATTCAGTCAGAGTTCATTTTCCTGACTTTTTTATAGATGCTGTGTTTTAAATACAATATTGAACTACGATTCTATTCAGTGTAAGCCTTGAAAAATGGCTTCTAACTTGGTGGTTTTTTTTTCTTCAACAAAATCAAAAGGCAGTCATGTAATTTTATTAGATTAAAAGCAACCACCATCATTACCCACCACTGTTGCTGTTAACTGTGACTCTCCACTGCTGTATCACTTGGTGTCCTATACATCTCCTTTTTCTACATTTCCTTTTTATTATTTATTTTATTATATCCTTGCTCAAGATTACATTTGTTCTCATTGTTAACTAGGACTTTGACTTCTTTAAAGATATACCATGTAGTTCAGATCTAATTCCTGGCATTATCTGACCATGTGGCCTTGTTAATTCTAAAAGAATTCCTGCTAAAATTCTTTGAGAAACTGTATTATAGTTTTTCCACCAGGACAGAGACCTTGCTAATTTATGACACAGGACTGTTTGGGAAGAGGAGATGGGCAAAGAAACAGCATATGCCCCTACCTTCACCTCCTGGAGACAGCCCTGACCTTGGGGCGGGGTGAAGAGGGATTGTGGGAACCGACATGGTGGTAGAGTCTCAGAGGAGGGAGAAGAATGGAAGTTCCTTTCCCGCAGGCTTTCCACCATGTCTGCCACTTTTTTGTTGTTGTTAGATGGAAGTAGATCTTTTGAAGCAATTTGGATAAATCTAAGTTAGATGCTAATGTCTCTAATCTGTCTCCCAAAAAGGGCACAAGAACTGGGGCACGTGGTTAGACAGGACACCTTGTCAAAACTAGCAACAATAAGGGCCACAAATGAGTGTTCTGCTATGCCCCTTTTCAGCATCCCATAGAGCCTACTTGGGCTGCAACAGACACAAGCTTTGAGCAGATGCCTCAGGTTAATGTCCTGTTGTGCAGTGTATGACCCTTGCTACCCATCTGATTCCCACCTCAGTCCTCACCTGCTATGACACAAAGCAAGGGAACAATTTGGGTTTCTTCTTCTTCTCTCCCATATTCTAAGATAAGCCACACAAAGAGGATCAAAATGGGGCAAAGATGCAGCTCCCAAGACCTGGGAGAGACTATTCTCATATAGGCTGCTATCCACAGCAGGATGAAGGTGCTGTGGACATGATTTATTTCATGCACACCTCAATACTTCCAGTGAGGAATGAGGTAGAGTAGACAAGAGCAAGTACAGAATGTTTTCAACCTAGATAGGCTGAGAAGCCCAGTTCTGATTCAGCTTTACAAAAGCTTTGATGCTCTGGCCAGGAGCATGCATCTCTGTTGGCACAGTGGGAACAGCAAGGCCATAGCGGTGTGCTGGCAAGGGCGACGGGCATGTTGAGTGGGTGCCCGACAGGGAGAAGTGCACATGGGTAACTTTAGAAAGGACAAGCTCTAGTTAGGCAAGCATACCCAACAATCACAACCCTAACTCTGCTCATTTCTACGGTCTCACTAAGAAGAAAACACAAAATATCAGGAGGGGCTGAACAATGGCATTCTGCTCAGGAAACTAGGGGCAGAAATTGAAAGCTCCCACTCTAGGGCAGCCTCTGACTTCTCTGTGTGGCTGCACACGTCACTCCTTCTGTGGGGTCTAGTCACTGCTCTTAGATCTACAGCTATTTATGCCTAATGTTGCAGTGTACTTATTGAGAAAAGATACATCCAAGAGTGCATGGTCAGCAGTAGAGAGAGCAAGATCTCTGAGAATCTCAGCACACTGCCTAGATAGCAGAACTCTGTAAAACAGAGCTATTAGTACTGATTACAAAGCAACTGGAATCCAGTGACATCCACAGTCACTCTTGTAGAGCCCTAACACTCTGTATTTTATACCTTGAGGTGAATGAGGTCTTTGAACACACTTGATAGGACTTCTAAGCCCCAAACTCAGTAACAAATGCAAGTTTGTCGTGGCCTCGCAATAACAGTGATGTGAGTGTTTTGAGATCTTCCAGACAGGGGATCCATCAGATGAAGATCATGATCAAGATGCCTAGGAAGCACTGCACACATAGCACAGCCATGGTCACATGGCGGGAGTCACAGTGCAAGGTGCCTCAGAGTTGTACATATCCAGCATGAAAAAAACCCTGGGTTCTCATGGGTCCCATGGTGAGACTCTTCAATGTAGAGTCACTGGGTAAGTCAGGAGCTCCTTGCTGTAAACGATGTTCTCTGAAGCTCAGACTACAGCAGACTCTGTCTTTGGAATATCCACACACAACTATTGTGCTAAGGGTTAGAGGGCTTCTCCTATGTATCTGATGATGTTGTATCTTCTTTCTACTTCCCAGTGTACAAGATCTCCACCCTGCCACAAGCCCAAGTGGGCAAACCACTATACAAAGCTCTGTTGGTGCTCACGGGCCAGTGGATGGGAGTCATTCCAGTAGCAAGCACTGCCTCCTGGGAAATTCAGTTCATCTTTCCTAGTTTCCAAAGTTCTGTAAACTGGAGATGGCCCACCCAGAGTGGCACCACTAAATCCTACACATTCTATTAGAAATTCAAGCATAGACAGTGTCTTCAACTAGACCAAGCTATTAGATATTAATGTTCAGACAACACCTACCTCACTCCAGACCAGCATGGTACCGAATATGACCTGTAACCCATCAAAGAAATTGTCCCCTATGATGATCACAGTCGCGCCTCCCGTCGTCCATCCTTCACTCGGGCTGATGGCTTTGATACAGGGAGTAGCTGCTTTTCAACACACATGAAAAAGAGAAGGAGTCTGCTGTTAGAACCAAACTTTAATGATGGGAGACTTGAGAAAAAGAAAAAAAATCTTTTATCTTTTCACTAACAGAAAATCCCTCAAGATCTCAGCAATTCCTAGCCACATCAGGACCAGTAACCTACGGGTGCAACTTTGGTGCTTAAAAGCATCCTTTTCATTGTTTCTATTGAGATGTATATATTTTAACCCAAATCTTTATCCAACTTCAAAGATTATGAAATATAACACAGAAGAAAAATTGAATTTATTAAATGCTAGGGATTGGAATGCATTGGAAACCTTCTCTGTCCACTTCAAAATTAAATAAATTTCTTGAAGAGAAAACTTGTATATTCTTAGGTAGACATTTTTGTCCAGTGGGAAGCTTGCAAGAAGAGGAGAAATGCGCTAGGCCTTCTGACCTGTAACATTAGCATAGCAACAGTCCTCATTAAAAATCATTAGAGCTTTTTCCAATATATGCCATAGATACCATTTTATAGATGCAAGAAGTACCAGTCATTCAGGGTGAATCATGCAGCAAATAGCTGGGGCCTGCCTGGACCACAGACTCAGCCACGTGCCTTTGTTGTGTTTCCCAGGCATGAAAACCCAGGCCTAACATTTGCAAGATTTCATATCTCTTTACTTTCCATTGTAAATGGCCCTTGGAGATGGGCAATAATTTGTGAACACTGTGATTCCAAACAGATTATAAGTGGTTTTCTTAATAAGAATGGCATATTCTAGACAGAATTATTAGGCATTATTGGATGATGGTTTTGAAATATCTCTCAGGGCATTTTGATGCTGTCAAGGATCTTTAATCTGACAGTGCCCTGTTGCTGTTGTCTTGATTCTTTTCACAAGGAGCACCAGGGCAAAATTGGAAAGCAAGGGGGAGATTGTGGAAGAAGAGAGAACGAGTCCCTTCTCTTTAATAAAAGGAAATTAAGTTTTAAGACAGACTTTCCAAGCACTGCACTGAAGACAGTTAACTGTAATGAGGGTGGAGAGAACTGGAAAAAAAAAATATTGGACTTTGTCAAATTTGGCAAAATGTCATGTTTTAACTTTTGTAAGAAGGAAAGAAAACATCAAGTTCATCCCATTGTGTGACCACTGCTCACGTGCCACCACACAAACAAGTAGGAAGGCTTTGGTTCTGATTCAAATTTATCTTAAAAAAATTACACAGAAAGAAGGTTTGAAAACATCCGAACTAAACATGTTGTGCTGACTGAACTCTCAGAGGCGCGTCTGCAGCTGCAGCCGGGTAGCCCGAGGGACTTTACTCTCCTGCATTTTGCCCCCAAACAGAACAATTAATCAAGAAATTATAAAAGATCCATGCATGACTTGACTTTAACGTTCTTGCCCCATTTTTAACCTACAGGAGGGTGAGATCAATGTCTCCCAGGCACAGGACTTTTTCTTACACAAAAGCTTTCTTGAAAAGTAAAGTGTTTCCCACATACGGTGAAAGATTCCTAAATTAATGGTAGACTATGATGTACAATTTGAAGCTATTTATGAAATAGGTAAATTACATTTAACAACTTTGTAAAATCCTTAAAATACAAAGCAGTTTGGAAATATTTTGTTAATAGCAAATCTTTGCTGTTTTTTTTTAATTTATAACTCAGTATATTTAGGTGCTAGAACAGCATGCAAAAGGTGTTGCTGTTTCTTCAACTATTTTGGAAAAATACTGGATATTAGCTTACCTGAACTGATTATAAGAACCTGTTATAGAACTCTGTCTAACAGCAAAGCATGGACTTCAATGGAGTTATTAAATGTTGAGGCTGTGATTACCACTAACACCACGGAACGGTCTTCATGTTACTACCTGTATTCACTTTGGCATTTATGTATTTTATTTTATTTTCTGGGGAGCAGATTGTACTTTTTTTGAGACAGGGTCTCACTATGTAGTACTGCCTGGTCTGTATATGGAACTCGCTATGCAGACCAGACTGGTCTCAAACTCATAGAGTTCTACCTGCCTCTGCCTCCCAAGCACTGGGATTAAAGGTGTCTACTATCATGCCTGGTCAATTTTTAATCGTGCAGGCATAATTATTTAAACAAACAAGGTCTCTTCCAAACTTCTCACCATTACATAAAAGGAGGCAGAAGGGTACGTTCAAATATCTCAGGAAAACCTGTCTAGAAGAAAGGCCTTATAATTCATGGTCAAGACCTGCTGCATTTACACTTGACATCTTCTGTCCTTTTTACCACTTGCTATTTATAAAACACAAAGGTATGTAAGTGTGTATGTGTATGTGGAGCCATATGCATGGTTTGAAACACCTGGACTTAAGGAAAATTGCAATGTTTTCAAATACTGTGAGCAACTGTTCAGAAGTCAATCTACGGGTCAGCTAGTGAGAAGAAGGGAAGAACCTCAAGCCACAGTCTAGCGGAGAAACTGTGATATTGTCTTAAATTTCGAGACAGACTTGGAAGAGTAACGGGGTACGGTGGGGAACAACGTAAAGATTAGCATGATCCTGCTAATTTGAAAACTTCCATATATTGAATGAAACATGCATGAGTATGTTAAGAGAAGCTACATGCTAAGGGTGAACAGGCGTGCTAGAAAAAGGTCTAGAAGGAAGGATCTACATCAGTTGTTCACAGTGGGTCCTTAGGACAGGGAGTTATGACTCCAGTGGGTTGGATAGGAAAGGAAGACTATTAAGTTTTACTCTATCAATATTTATACGGTTTGAAGTTTGGTGTGTTTTTGTTTTCACTGAACATATATTAAGGTAACGTGAGCAAAAAAATTCAGTGACAGAAGGACATGTGGTGACATTTGTACTTTTTAGAGCAAATCAATACTAAAACAAATAAGCAAAAAAATACAACAAAAACCCAACTAACCGCCTAACATAGTTGTGCTGCTAACAGACCCTAGGGCTCGCCTTCCCTCTTCTCCTGTGGGTAAGTTCCCTGTGGATGCTTGGAGAACACCCGTAGTAGCAAGGGCCTCAATTTTCATTCACATGGGCTACCCAGAGAAGAGCAGTCAGGAGACAGAAAGATCACTGTTTTATAGTCACAATGACAGGATTCAAGAGAACTGAAGAGTGAAGAGGTTCATGAAAGAGTTCAATAATGACGTGCAACAATCAATATAATTCCATCTCCAAGGAAATATTACAGAATGGAGAGAAGGTGTATATATTTCAATGCAAGACTACTTTTACCAGGAAATTTATGATTTAATTGAGGGAAGAGTCTTTCTTCTCAGCAAATACATTTTCACACTCTGTCCACAAGGACAACGAGCCAATTTCTGGTTCTAAATTTCATTAAAAAATAAAAGTTTTTTTCCCCTTCTTTTCTTTAATGCCTCCCCCACCCTCACCAGCCACCAAAGTAGAGATTTTCCTTCCTTCAAACTGTGACAATAACATGATTACCCCACCAGTTTAGCATAATGGCTCTGAAATGCTCCTGGCACATTGCAGAATTAAAGTGGAAATTATTAGGTAGCTCTTCTTTGTTATAATAATGATCACTCCACAAATAAAAGCTCTTCTCCCAACGGTACTGCAAGGCACAAAATGCTAATTCTGAAGATTATGTGTGCGCTTTTATTAAATATTACTATGCCCTGCCTGTTTGAGGGCTTCTCTGCCCTGATTGTTTTATGAGGACCATGTTAATGTCATTCCGTCTTGCTAGCAGCAGGCGCACATTTTAGCGTTTGTATGAGAGTTGATCAAAGGCCACGTGCTGGGGGAATTGCTGGGAAAACACAGACAAGCGATAAAAATCTAACAGATTAATTGGTTTAAATTTCATTTCAGGGTGTTGAACTTTGGCTCGAGACTTTAATACTACACCGTGAGTCAGGGCCTAATTACCAGATTTCCAATTTGCTTCTAAACAATGACTGTGGTGAGAAGGAAAAGAGAGAAAAGAATTTAAAAAAAAAAAAAACAATAGGAAAGAAAAATGGTTCAGCCTCCAGTACATATTTAACAACTAATGTTTTGTGTGCAGACAATCGCACCAGGGACATTTGCGTTCACCTGTTCTGACTCCAGAGCATCTATATTTTCTTCAAATAGCCTCGAAAGGCAGAAAAGAAATCACAAAAGCCTTCAGCAGTTTAAAATTTTCTGACTTACAGAATCAATGTTACATGGTTCCATGCCTGCACGCTCGCACCAGAAGATTGGGCTGGTTATTAGCAAGGTGAATTTATAAGCTCGGCCTCCAATAGAAATGATCTATTTCATTGATAGAAAGCCAGGGCCAGGAGAGCCGTGTTTACCTCGGGGGTTTATGGGTGGCCTTGAGAATAAGGGTTAATTGAGCTCAGAGGGGCCTGCCCATTGAGGTGAATTAGTGGTGTGTGTGGAGATCAGCAGGGTTCTCTGGCTGCTCCTGTTTTTGCCTTTGAGATCTCTGTGTGCTGTGATCAATACCTCATATTCAGGGTAGCTGTAAAGATGACCCAGGTTCAAGATTTATCCTATCTTAACCCCAAAATGATTTGGCCCCAAGATTTGGCCACAGTTGGTATCCCACGACAGACACCTCAATAGAGATGTGTTGCTTGGCCCTGTTCCCTCCATTCGTGTATTAAAATATCCTGGAGAAAGAACACTCTACCAAGTGGCGAAATGTACAAATTTAGAAAGTTTTGAATCCTATTCTAAATCTCAAGATGAATTTCCACTGGGAATTGTGAACTGGACACAGGGTCGCTTTCCCGCTCCATTGTATGTATATATGAAAACATGGCCGCTCTCCTTCCCTAACAGCCCATTGACCAGCCCTCTATGAAAGAGCACTTCTAGAAACAGGTACCTGAGGTTCCCAATGGAGATGGAAGCGCTGGCACCGGCCTTTACTGGTTCCTGAGTAAATGCTGGTGACATTATATGGTATTAATTCTACCACAGGGAGTATGGCAGTCTTTGAAAATGGACCAGTGCTCCAAATGTTACAACTCTAC